TTACAATCAGTAACCAATGTAAACCAACCAATTAATTACATATATGAAAATCTATACTACTAAAACCTAACACCATATACAATCTAACTACTATATTTAAACACACACCAATACTATACATGTAGAGATATATTATATCCAAATAAATATGTTTTCAAAATATAAACCACAAATTTTATAATCATATAATATAGAATCACAAATTTTCATGAAGACTTAAGAAAATATATTTCCGCGCATAGCGAGGGTCTGTATCTAGTATATAATTTAAAGGCGGGACTCCAAATGAGTTGAGTGCCACTACTAGGTGGGCTTTAAATGTAAACTCGTAATGATCCCAAATATTTTAACAACGATATATTTCTGAGAGTATGCATGCAGTATTAACGAAATACATTACATGAACGAATGATTCATTGTTGATTTTGACTAAAATTTACCAACATCTGAGTGATCCCAGTTAAAAGTTGTTATAACTCGTTAATAATAAGAACAAATCGGTTTGAATTCTAAAATCACTTTCCCAAGAAGAACCTTAAATCATTTTTTTTCTTCTTTCAAATTCTTGATCTTGATTATATCAAAAGCTAACAGTTTTGCATTGATTCATCACTGATACGGGATCATCAGAAACTGCTAAAGATTTCAATAACACAAAAGCAATGGATCTATTCTTCACCATATTTACAGAAAACCATCAAAGATTAAACATCCAATGTCACTCTTCCCTTAGCAAGCAATCAAACTACTATACCAGTCACTCAAGAAGGTAATCTAAAAGCATGATGAGACCATCCCACACAAACCCTGTTTCGTTGAAGAATATCTACAAGATCATCAATGCATCATTCAATTGATCAGCACGTGAATCTGGTGCCGAGCCCGTACTTGCAGCAGAAGCACCCACGTTTCGTGTATCCTCTAGGCTCACGCTTCCTCAATCTGCCTGTCGCGACCTTGAAGTTTCCTGGTATCATCTTCTCATAAGCATGTAGTAGATCATCGTAGTCGCCATCTTCATCAGCATCGTCGTCCTCACATTGTTCCTCGTCCCCTTCGTCGCGCATGATATTGTAATCCTCTATCTTGATTCCAAGAGAGCAACGCGAATCAACTCCACGGAGATACACCGTCCCCTGTTTATCATCGGCGACGCCACGATCAAGATTCGCGGTGAGGACGGTGGTCTTCACGAGCGGCGAAGTAGTAACCGGAGATGAGACGGAGGAGGCGAGAGGGAGGACGCGTTCACCAGTGACATCTTTCGTCGGCTTCTGTGGTGAGACGGAGGCGATGACGTCATCGGAGAGGTTCACGACGGAGAAGGTATCGCTGGAGGAACTGACGGTTGGAAGGGGAGGAAGAGCCATTGGTGGATCGATTCTAACGTTCTTGTTGGTTTTTTGGGATTTGAGGATATGGTTTGTTAAAGGGAGGAGGAGGCAGTTTAGCTTTTTATACTTGCAGACGCAGCGTCGTCTTTTATTTGTTTGTTACAACTTTCAAGTTAGTTATGAGCTTGTGAGATTATCTTTTCAATGGATGGAGTACCATTTTTCTGTTTATAGTTTTTTGCAATGCAGTTCATGTTCCATTTTAACTAACTTTTTCATGTGACGTGACAAGCCCAGGTTTTGTGAAATTTGTATAGTATTTTTTTCTACCTATAGTATTCAATATATAATACAAATTATTTCAAATTTTTATTTTACAAATTTTTTAGCCAAAAAGTCAATTTAGAAAAGCGTTTATCTTTTTTAAAAAACGCAGAAAAGCTTTTATCTAAAACTAAAGGCTATATGAACGTTTAGAGTTTATGCACATCTTTTACTGTAGTAATGTTTTGCATCAAGAGTTCAAGGTACAAATATACAAATCTGGTTCCATTTGATGAAAACAACTCTTCAGATCCTCCTCTTGGTTTATTGGAGTAGTCGATCACCACCAAAGACAAGGCAAAAACCAGTGATGATGAGCTTGATGTAAATGGAAAAAGGAAGAAACCCATGGGACAGAAGATCCAGTTTCACACATTATCAATCTTTTGGTGCTATTTATTTTTCTCTTATGCATATGTTTTTGATCTTAACAACATCAAGATCGTTCTGCTATTCTCCTAACTAAAGGCTCTGCGCACGCAATAGTGTTTCTTTCAATGGGACGCACAGATATACCAACACAGAGTGGGGGAAGATCAGTCAGTGTGGAAGAAGAGGTTCCTGAACTGTGGTGATGATGAGCTTGAGCACATAGCTTTCGTTGTGTTGTAGCCTAAGCTATTTTGTGTTTCCTTCCTGCCATTATAATAAGATTGCTCTTCCCCATTTGTATGAAGATCTTTACTCTCTTCAAAAACCATATTACAGATTTCACCAAAACTAGGGGAACCGGACAGCACTTTCTTGTGTACCTTGTTGGCTAAGAAAAAGAGTCTCCACTAGCTGAAGGTGCTGAGATCATTTATCTGAAGAGCGTAGTATCAAGGCTCAAAGAAAATGTTGCATGGTTGTAAGCAACTAAAGCTGTCAAGATTAGAGTGACACTAGTTTTTTTTTTTGGGTGTCACAAAACAGAATCTTTGCAGAGCTAAGCTACCATGGTTACTTAGTAATAAAAATAAACAAAGATTCTTGGATTGAATATAATACTCGGGGCAAATTCTAGTAAAAGGATGATTAGCCCAAGAGATCACGAATACAATAACATTGTTTTTTTTTTCTTTTCCTCGCCAGAAAAGAAAAAGAATATGACATTGAGGTTTCAAGTAAAATAATGAGAGAATCTACCAACTTTTGTTTCGAGCATATAAGTCTTGAGGGTTAGATTCAACTACATCATTATGCGAAGGACTGCGAGTCCAACAGCTGAAATGGAGACAAGTGTACCAATGCAGTATTTGATAACTTCGTATTTGGCCGCTTCTAGCTGAGCTCTGAGTGCATGAATTTCCTGCAATTAACATACATATATCATGTGTTATCAATCTTCCCAAGTTCAGTAATGAACAGTGTATAATGTAGTTTAGGAGTAAAGGAGAAAGGAATACTCTGTCAAGCTTGTTTGTGAGGTTTGTTGTTTCAGAATTCTGATTAGCTAGCTCATCACGTATCCGGCTGTGATAAACAAGACAATCACAATCAGATTACCATATAAGCAAAACCCCACGCCTTCCAAAGATGGCGATGTTGGTAAATGATACTAGTCATGTGAGAAACGTGGAGGCTTCATACCCTCTTTCAAGATTCAAATCCAAGCGTTGTCCAGCTGTCACCTTATCGATTTCGTACCTGTTTCAGTCTCAAATGTCTTAGTTTCAGATTGTTCACAATATATAGCAAAAAGACGTTGAGAATGTGAGAGAGAGAGACTAAATAAAAATGAACAAAACCTTAGCTCGCTTCTCATCTTCTCTATATCCCCTCTTAGTTTTTCTGTCTCCCGTTGTAACACAGTAAAATGATGCTCCTGCAAAGCCAAGTGAAGAAAAGTTGGCCAAAGTCTCCAAGTCATAATCATTTGAAAGAAAAAAAATAGCAGCATCTCATGGGTTACATATTCATGAACTCCTCACAATATCACACAACGAGTACTTCAATCTTCAAAATTTCAATGTAACACAAACCTCTCAAACTAGTTCATAATGAGAATAAAACAGAGATAGGCAAAATAACAAAAAGGGAGGACATGAAAAGGTTGACGTATGTGTACCCAGTCTTGTAATCATAAACAAGAATATACATGAGAGACAATGGTGTTCGAGATTGTAAAACGCATGACATCATCAACGACTGTTGTATATCAAACAACAATAGCAGCCACAGATACTGAACTAGACCATGGCATGTATGTATATGTTACCTGAGAGCTTTTGACTTCAGATTTAAATTTGGAGAGATTAGAATCTTGAAGCATTTCAATCTGCAGACAGCCACAAGAAAACAAACAAAAGTTACATTTTTTTTAAAAAACAACGTCCCATCGCAATTGGTTTGAGGGAAATGTGTAAGTGAAAAGGAAAAGGACCTTTTGCATCTCAGCCTTGGAAACAAAAGACTCAGAGACATTCTCCAAGCTATCATTCAAAACCTCAGTGATGGCAGAAGTAATCGCCTCAGCCTGTTTTGATGGTACACCTTGTGCTTCTAGACTCCTCACCTTTTCCACATAACCAACAAAACCAAAAAAAAAAAAAAAAATTCAACATCAACACAAGAAAAGCAATTTGCGACTCCTCACATTTCACATAAAGATTCGTTGCTTCCTTTAACAAACTAACAAATTTGCGACTCCTCTCATTTCACAAAGATTCGTTGCTTTTCTTAACAAACTAACAATTAAAAAGAAAGAAACTAACTGATAAGAGAGTCTTCTTTGATAATGCCTAGCTTTAGATCTGGGAATAATGATATTATTTACCAGAGCCAAGGTATCGACGAGAAAAGCACGCTTCCCATTCACTTTAGTGAGCTCCGAGATTTGGCGGTATTGGAAGGGACGACGATCAATCAAGCCGTAGGAGGAGGAGGAGGAGAAGCCAAAACCTCGAGGTTTTGCGATTGAAAGCGCGGATTGAGCCCCTAAGAGAGCCAGGCGCCTTGATAAGTTCATCGATCACAGAGGGGGATTGACCTTCGACGGAGAGATGAATCGGAGAATCAGGGAAAGAGGATGCGATTGATTTGATGAAGAAAAGATAGAGAGAGAGCGCTTGAGGAGAAAGGGTTCTTCTTCTTCTTCCACTTGGGTGGGGGTTTTCATCTCTCGATGGTTTTGAATTTACGTATTTACCCTTTGACCAGAACCAATATTCTACCAAAACGCAATCCTTTACTTGCTTGCCCGCAAAGTTATTTTTTTCGTCCTAAAAACTTCTGTAAATCCCTATCTATTATTAATTTGAACCAAACAAATTATTATTTGCTAAATCTACAAACTAAATATAAATATACTAGGTGTTTTGTCCGCACATACGGACATAATTTTCGTACAATTTATTATTAATTTATATTTTATTAATCCAAACCAAGATAATAAGTTATGATTTATGTTTTATTTTAATTATAATTTTTCTATCTTAATTTTTTATTTCTATAATAAAAATATATTTTCAAGATAACAATATAATACATAAGAAGTATTTTATTTTCTCAAAATTTAATTTTTAATAGAATTTTTTTTATAATAAATTTTATATGAAACTATTAAAAATATGACAAATAATCAAAATTATCTAAATCATGTACAAATTACAAATAATCAAAATTATCTAATTCAAGATAACAATCTAATACATAAAAATTATCTTATTTTTTTAAATCTACTATTTATTCGTATACATTCTAAAAGTATAATATTATTAATAGAATTTTTTTTATTATATGATAAATTATTCATTCATTTTTTAAAAATATAACAAACAAGGTAAATTACAAAAATCATGGAGAAATTACAAATCAATCAGTAAATTCACTTGAATTTATAATAGAAAAATATATTTTTAAGATAACAATTTAATACAAAATAATTAACATATTTTTAAGATAACTTAATAATAAGATAACATATATGAAATTATTTAAATAAAGTAAATAAACAAATTTACCTAAAATCAAGGAGAAGCTGACAACTAAGCAAATTTACTTCGTATATAATAATATAGATATTTTCTAAAATATAATATTACTAATATAAATTCTTTTTTATTAGATAATAAATTGTATAGGAAATTATCTAAATAAGGTAAATAAGCAAAACTAACTAAAATCAAGGAGAATTTGACAACTAAGCAAATTTATTTCTTATATAGTAGTATAGATATTTTCTAAAATATAATATTACTAATATAAATTCATTTTTACTATATAATAAATTGTATATGAAATTATTTAAATAAAGTAAATAAGCAAAAATTACCTAAAATAAAGGAGAAGTTGACAACTAAGCAAATTTACTTCTTATATAATAGTATAGATATAAATTCATTTTTATTAAATAATAAATTGTATATGAAATTATTTAAATAAAGTAAATAAGCAAAATTACCTAAAACCAAGGAGAATTTGACAACTAAACAAATTTACTTCTTATATAATAGTATAAATTAATAGGATTGAAAAATATGAACAAGTTATACTAGTTTGGAATTTTCTCTGGAAAATATTACTTTTTGTCAACAATTTTTTTTATCCCAATCTATTAATCTATGTTCATGAGAACAAAAAAGTGTTGATAAAAAAAAAAGAGAACAAAAAAATCAACTAGTAGTATAATATATGAAAGTTTGTTCTATATTATAACTCTAAACTAATAGATTACATTATCCAGATATTTATGATTAGTAGAAATACTAGAATACACAAAATAACAAAATCAAGCAGCAAACTTGAAAATTCATATGGAATAAATAACATGAGTTCAAATGCAATCTATTAATTTATAAATAAACCAAAAATTATTCAAAAATATAATTCAACATCTCAAATATTATAATAATCAAATACAAAAAATAAATAAAATTAAACATGATTAACCAAATATATTAATTATCTTTTTTAAAAATAAACCAAAAATATTAGGGGAGATGTGTGTGGTAATGGGTCTGAAAATTGAACTTCAACTCGGCCCAAAACGTTAATTTTGTTTTCCTTCAATTTAATCTGCTTTTGTTATTTTGTAAGCGAAATATTTTGTAATTGTGACAAAAAAAAAAAAAAGAAGTTATTTTGTAAGCGAAATATCAACTAAGCAAATCCCTAAATTACCCTCACCACACTAGTCTGTCTATAAATACAATCATTCTCACAATAAACGTCAATTTTACTCTCATCTTTTCTCTCTCTCACTTAGACACGAACGAACATACTTTTGCGCGCGCTCTCGAACTCATTACAGCTTTCATCGTTACAATAATGGCGACCGCTTCTTCTTCTTCTCCCTCGCACTCGAACTCTGTAATCCCTCTTCCTCGTAGCTTCCTTTTCAGAAACAACTCCAAGGGAAACGTAAGTATCGTAGTATTAGGGTTTCTATTTCCGGTTATTAATTACGGTTTCTATTTTCGTGTTCTCTGTAGAATTATTTCCGGTTATTAGGGTTTCTATTTTCGTGTGCTCTGTAGAATTATTTCTGGCTATTAGGGTTTCTATTTACGTGTGCTCTGTTGAATTATTTCTGGTTATTAGGGTTTCGATTTGCGTTTTTGCTTTCTCAGAGCTGTCAAGTTTCTAGGTTCGGAACAAAACTCATGAAATTAGGGTTTCGCTTTGTGTCAAGTTCTTTTTTTTTTTTGTGAATCTCGTGTTGGGTTTGTTGTACTGACGTTTTTTATTTATATTGTTACAGTTTGACAGGTTCATCCCAAACAGATCGGCCATGGATTTTGACTACGCTCACTTCGCTCTAACGGAAGGAAGAGGAGAAGAGGAAAAAGAGGAGCTAAGTTCATCTAGAAGAGCATACAACAAGAGTTTGGCTGAGACTTTGAATCTGAACCGAACAAGAATCCTCGCCTTCATGAACAAACCTTATTCCAAAGAAGCCTCTGCTTCTTCTCTTCACCTACAACAGTTTAAACCACCCTTGAAGCCTCCTCGACGCATCCCTAACAGTCCCGACAGAATTTTGGACGCTCCTGGAATTGTCGATGACTTCTACCTCAACATTCTAGACTGGGGCAGTGCGAACATGTTAGCCATCGCCTTGGACAACTCTGTTTGTCTCTGGAACGTTTCCACTGGCTCTGCGACTGAGTTTGTCGTGTATGAAGAAGATAAAGGACCTGTCACAAGCCTTAACTGGGCACATGATGGGATTCATCTCGGAGTTGGGCTCAACAACGGTGAGGTAGATATTTGGGATTGTGAAAGTGAAACTCTACAGAGAACGTTGGAAGGTTGCCACTACACACGTGTAGGGTCGTTGGCGTGGAACAGTGACATCTTGACCACGGGTGGGATGGATGGAAGGATCTTAAACAACGATGTGAGGATCAGGTCACACGTTGTGGCGACTTACAAGGGTCACAGTCAAGAGGTGTGTGGGCTCAAGTGGTCAGGATGTGGTCAGAGACTTGCGAGTGGTGGTAATGACAGATTAGTACATATTTGGGATCGTTCTAGCTCTACGCGGTGGCTGCAGAGGCTCAGGGGACATAGTTCTGCAGTTAAAGCTCTCGCTTGGTGTCCTTTCCAAAGCAATTTGCTTGCAACTGGCGGTGGGGAAGGTGATAGGAAGGTGAAGTTTTGGAACGCTGAGAGAGGGGCTTGCTTGAATACGGTTGACACTGGCTCCCAAGTTTCTTCTCTGTTATGGAGCAAAAACGAGAGAGAGCTGCTTGGTTCACATGGGTCTCAGCTCACACTTTGGAAGTATCCATCGATGGTGAAAATGGCTGAGCTCCCTGGTCATACATCAAGAATCCTGTCGATGGCGCAGAGTCCGGATGGTTGTACTGTGGTTTCAATAGCTGGAGATGAGGCCCTCAAGGTTTGGAATGTTTTTGGAGCACCTGAGACAGCCAAAAAAGCTGTTCCAAAAGCAGCTCGTGAGCCGTTTTCTCGTGTGGGTGGTATTCGTTGAGACTGTGAAAACTACAATGAGAGCCACTGAAGATAATTGATAGGATTACAGATTCATTATTCATTTAACAAGCCGGTTCATTTTTAATTTTGTCCTCAAAGTAGCTTTGTAAAAGAATGATTGTATGTATTGATCAATAGAATCGAATGAATAAAACCTTTCTATCTTTTGCCAACACCCTTATTTGCAAGTCTTCTTTAGGCGTTTGGCTCCACATGATCAATTATTTCTCAAAAAGTTTGTATACAAACCTTTTATAGACAAGTATTGTAGTTTGACGCCCGGTTTGTTCTAAAGAACCTGAGTATGGAACATTAGTTGTTGATAAAAAGAGCCATGTTTGTTCTTGTTTTGTTATATACGTCTGTTATGATGCATAATAAGATTGTTCTCAAACTGTCTATTATCTAAAATTCCAAAGGTTTTTAGTCTTTTTGTATTTTTCGTTAAGCTTAGTACATGATGCATTGGTGAATAAAAAGTTTGTTAAAGGGAGGAAGGTTAAAAACATATATTGGTCTAGCAAATATTATATGCAAGCAAGAGGATATTCTCTATCACAATATTCACCACCACTGACATACTAAGCCCTTGACCTCCCCCAAAAGATAAAGAAACATGTCTGAGTGAAAGGCTCTCAACAAAAGACTCTTGTGCATCATTGTGTCTAAAACGCCTAAAACTCTGCTTTTTAGGATGCAGCAAACATCACCCGAAAGCAGAAAGAAAGAAAGAAAGAGAGATTGAGAAAAGCTAGTTTAGTTGTGGAGGTAATTGCAGGCTGCTCCCTTCCTGCAATGTCCATTTTCTCGATGGAACTTGCATACTCTTTGCCCTTTGAAGCTATTATGCCCACCACTTCCACTTGACTGCCTGTTCCAACCATAACCCGACTCTCCATTCCGGTTCTGTTGGTTTCCCCAGTAACCAGTTTGGTTCCCTCCTGACCCACCGCTTGGCATTGCTGTCTGGTTTTGAGTTCCCCAGTTTTGATTACTGTTCCCAGGCTGCATCCCTTGACCTGGCTGCATCCATCCCCCCGAGCTTGTACTACTCCCCGGAGCTTGAACTTGAGCTTGTGACTGAGCTTGACCTGTTACACCCCACCCAGCGTTTGGATATGCTTGTGTTTGTCCTTGGACGGGCCCGCTCCAGCCAGGATTAGGCACTCCCTGACCAGTGGGTGGAACAGAAGTTGCAGCCCAGTTTACGTTCATTCCAGCTTGAGGAGGACCAGCCCATCCCATGTTTGGATTTACAGTCCCTTGACCCCAGCTGTTGTTTTGGTTTGCTGGAGCCTGAGTTTGTCCTGAGTTTTGACTGTTGTTCATACCCCATGCTGGTGCCTGAGCCTGTGTATTCGATTGGCTTTGAACTGGGACCCTCCATGAATCAGATGATGGAAAGCCTGGTTGACTTTGCGAGGGGAGAACACTCGGAGTTGCGGTGCCATAAGACGCCGAGATATTCTGAGAAGGAGGAGCATGACCTCCACGGCCATGGGAATCAAATTTATCAGTCTGCAAGTTACCCCAGCTTTGCATTCCGCCTACCGGTGTTGGAGATGGAAGAGGAGCAGAACCACCATAGTGATTAATAGAAACATTAGCTGGATCTGGTGTTGGAAGTGGGTGTGTTCCAGGCTGCAACGCACCAGCAGAGTTTACAACCATAGGGATATCTGTCCTTGGAGCTTGATTTGTGACAGATTGTGCTGAAGGAAAACTCATCGACTGAACAGCTGATTGTGCAGAAGGCTTGGTTGGAGACCATCTGCTCTCAAAATTTCGCCTTTTGGACATTGGGGTTGTAACTTGAGTCGGAGTAGGCGATGGAAGGCTACCGCCTGAACTCCAAGTATCCTGAGAATTCTTGGGAATATCAAGGACTGTTGGAGCGGTCCTAGCAGAAAAACCTAAGTTGGGTTCAGAGTGGCTTGATTGACCAGAATAAGCTTTCGTGTAGCTATTATCCACCAACGGCGCTTGCTTCTGAAACAGCCCCGCCAATGCATCAGTCAGAAGAACAGAGTCCAATGATGACTCGTTAGCTTTCCAAATTTCCAACTTGGCAGGGAAGTACCCAGTGTTGTTCCATTTACGGAGCTGCGCCATTGAAAAAGGTCCTTGAACTTTACCAGATGGGTCCTTGTAATGCCATATTTTCTCTGAATCATTTGACTTGGGAGCAGGCGGTGGAACAACAGGAGGAGGTGCCGTTGAGATTTCAGGAGCAAGCCTAGGAGACAACTCTGGTGGCGCAACAGCACGGGAACTTCTGGGAGGAGGTTCGGGGAGAGAAACAGATCTCGGCTTCTCAGAGCCTAAATATTGTTGCACGTCTTTTTCTCTTTCTCTACCTGAACTCCACAGATTATCACTAACCTTGTCGTCGGAACTACCAAGATAATCCCCTCTTCCAGTAGAGCCTCTACCAGAATAACTTCTGCTTAACTCACGACTTGCACTAGTGTTTGTGAAGTTGCTTGTGCCAGTCCACGATTCATTGGAACTAAATCCTCCCTTTCGTGGAGATATTGGGTCTCTTCCTCTTCTGTTGAAGCTACTACTTCTTCGCCTCAGATTTTTCTCTAGATGCATTAAAACAGCCAAAGATCAAAAAGGTTAGAAAATATAACGACAAACGATAGATACAAGAAGCAAAACTTGATTTTTATACAAAACCTTTTTCTTTTTCTTCTTTTTCATCTTCGTCTTCCGACTCACAATCTGGATCCATTTTGGGATCAGCATGTATTTCTGGAATTTCTTCTAGCCTGCGCTGCCGTTCTTCTGGAGACTTCAACAGTTGCACCTTCTCAACACATTCTCGCAGCGTAACCATGGGTTAAGGATTACTTATGTAATTGAACAAAATAATGAAATTATATGCTTTCGACTACAAATGACAGATCATAACAGAAAGTTTGCAGGTGCATGAATTATCAAATGCCCAACGCTCATTCCCTGAAGTACAAAAAACATACACACCGAAAAGCATTCCAAGAGAATCGGTAATAATGATTTTGACAAAGAACTCAACAAATTCAAACAGATATAAGGATATTCTTTTCTGTGGCCCATGTCGCTAGCACGATCACGCAAATGACCATAACGTAGGATCTCTGCGTCCAACAACTGCATTTATAAAGGTAACAATGTTCAAAACTTAAGCAGTCATAGCTCCATTCATCACGGAGCATATTACGAAACTTAAGCTGCCATAGGTATATATTATCGTTAAAATTCTCAAATACCATCGGGATAGCTCTGCATTATTAAAGAAACCTGAACACCCAAAACATAAGAGAGACGATAGAACACTAGTCATGAACATTGCCTAGACAGATTTGTACAGTACTGTAATTAGTCTCTATCTCCCAATCTAGAGAGCTCACTTACCAAACGTATAATAATGAGCAAAAAGACAATGATTATTAACAGGAAAATGCGTCAGCAGGAAAAGAAAAAAAACTTACGTTTTTTACCCTCACTTCCTGCAGCGCTATGGCCTTTTCTTGTATATCACCCTAAAACCAATTGACATTAGAATACCTAAAATGTAAAAGAACGAGGATCGACAGAATTTAAGACGCAATAAAATGAAGACTTCAAATAATATGAAGCATACCACTGTCAGCCTGTTAATTAAGCCACATTTAATGCTCTGCCTTAGACGCTTGCATTCATCCTGAAAATATTGCACAGAACTTATTAGTTAAACATATAGCATTCTTGAACAATATGCTCACTAATCAGGAGAAGCTAGCTAAGAAAAGAGTAACACTGCCTCCTTGGCTTGTCAACATATGCAAATGCAAGAGAAGTTTATGTAGGAACTAAAAAGCAGAACATCTTCTCCCTTTTCCATTGATAAAAGGATGTTACGAAACAGCAGGTGTGTTACCTCAGTGAAATCTTGATTCGATATAATGTCGATGGATATCACTTCTGTTTTGTCCAGGTTCAATATCTCGAGTACATAGTCTGTTGTTTTTTTGCCAACTTTATAGGGTTCAGGAGCTTTGCTTGTGCCTGTGTTTCAAACCAAAAGAGATCATAGTCAACCTTTGAATTAACCATATATTAAAATAATCTGTAAAATGGAAACTTAACATACCAACAACTTGAACCAGACGATATAAATCTTGCTTTTGATTTCCAGATATCCTTAACCTAACAAATGCACTAGCTACTTTTTCTTCGAATCCTGTAGAATCTTCAAGTAGATCTTCCACCAAGCTACGCCTCAAGTATATCAAATTAATGTTGTGCATATCAACAGCAGCAAAATCATCAAGATTAGATTGACGCCCTTTCCTTCCACCCTTTTTACGTGTTTTACGTTTCTTATCCTTCCCACTTTTCACTGGATGGTCCAAGTTTTCATCAAGATCCACATAGTCAGGGTCTGTATCAACAATGCTACCTTGCATATTATCTGCCTGCTGTTGCTCTTTAACAAGGAAATGGGTATCAAGGAGATTTAACATCTCAAAGTGCCCAACATGAGATTTTCCGAACAAATTTTTAAGCCTGGAGTCACAAACAACTTGGCTTTTACGACGGGGATCACGAAGATTATATCTTTTTATATAATCCAGCAGGAGATCGTGTACTTCTGTGGAAGTTAAGAAAGATTTGTCACCACGTCTCATGTGCGCGACCACATCCAAAAGTTCCTTGGAAGCCCACTCCATAGTTTCACCGGACGAGCTTTTCTTGGCTGGTGATTGGATTTTCTCCGCAGAACCAGACTTTGATCGACTCCTAGTCTTCCTCTTTTTGGGAGAACTATCCGAATCTGATCCTTCATCAGTAACGTAGTCAGTCTCCCTGGCTGTTCCCTGTTTACCAGCATGAGACTTATTTCCTTTCTGAGGGCTCTTAGCCTGATCAAGTTCTTCTGGACTTATGGATAGCTGGGTTTTCAAATCAATCCAGTAATCCTTGAAGAGAGATTCCCAGTTGGTCTTGTCATCAAAATCCAACTGCGCCTAAAAAGGACAAAGTGGATTCAGGGAGAGGGATCAAAAACAGAAGACCGACATTCAAATTGTAAGTGTAAACTACGGTT